CACGGCCCCGTGGCTCTCCCGGCCTCGACGCACATCCGCGCACTCTCGTCCCCTCAGCCCTGGGCTCTCCTGCATCCAAGGACGGGCCCCGGGTACCCGGCACGTCCTCAGCCGCCCGCCCCAGCCTCAGGCTCATCCCCTGCACTGGGACAGCGGAGCCCCGAAAGACACTGCGCCTCCCCTCGCAGACGGGCCCACAGCCCTTCTGTGCAGCCATCCACTGGCCCTGGGACGTCCCACCACTGCGGGAACAGTCGCCATTATCCTAATCCCATTTACCTTGATTCCGAACCCCTCCTGCTCTGACCACTACACCCCACTCCCATCCCGGAACCCAGGAGCGTGCTGGGGCTGCGGCAGGCCAAGGATACAGTTCCCAAACAGGGTCAGAACAATGAAGTAGACCGAGTACACCATGCCCTGCTTGACTCCGCCCTGAGATTTGATACCATCATACATCACCATGTTCCAGTCTTCACCAGTCAAGATCTGAAAGGGAAAAGAACAAGGGACCCCAGGAGATGGGAACCCTCCCAGACCGCGCTCAGCCCGGCTCTGAGACGGGAATCCTCCCAGACTGCGCTCAGCCCGGCTCTGAGACGGGAATCCTCCCAGACTGCGCTCAGCCCGGCTCTGAGACGGGAATCCTCCCAGACTGCGCTCAGCCCGGCTCTGAGACGGGAATCCTCCCAGACTGCGCTCAGCCCGGCTCTGAGACGGGAATCCTCCCAGACTGCGCTCAGCCCGGCTCTGAGACGGGAATCCTCCCAGACTGCGCTCAGCCCGGCTCTGAGACGGGAATCCTCCCAGACTGCGCTCAGCCCGGCTCTGAGACGGGAATCCTCCCAGACTGCGCTCAGCCCGGCTCTGAGACGGGAATCCTCCCAGACTGCGCTCAGCCCGGCTCTGAGACGGGAATCCTCCCAGACTGCGCTCAGCCCGGCTCTGAGACGGGAATCCTCCCAGACTGCGCTCAGCCCGGCTCTGAGACGGGAATCCTCCCAGACTGCGCTCAGCCCGGCTCTGAGACGGGAATCCTCCCAGACTGCGCTCAGCCCGGCTCTGAGACGGGAATCCTCCCAGACTGCGCTCAGCCCGGCTCTGAGACGGGAATCCTCCCAGACTGCGCTCAGCCCGGCTCTGAGACGGGAATCCTCCCAGACTGCGCTCAGCCCGGCTCTGAGACGGGAATCCTCCCAGACTGCGCTCAGCCCGGCTCTGAGACGGGAATCCTCCCAGACTGCGCTCAGCCCGGCTCTGAGACGGGAATCCTCCCAGACTGCGCTCAGCCCGGCTCTGAGACGGGAATCCTCCCAGACTGCGCTCAGCCCGGCTCTGAGACGGGAATCCTCCCAGACTGCGCTCAGCCCGGCTCTGAGACGGGAATCCTCCCAGACTGCGCTCAGCCCGGCTCTGAGACGGGAATCCTCCCAGACTGCGCTCAGCCCGGCTCTGAGACGGGAATCCTCCCAGACTGCGCTCAGCCCGGCTCTGAGACGGGAATCCTCCCAGACTGCGCTCAGCCCGGCTCTGAGACGGGAATCCTCCCAGACTGCGCTCAGCCCGGCTCTGAGACGGGAATCCTCCCAGACTGCGCTCAGCCCGGCTCTGAGACGGGAATCCTCCCAGACTGCGCTCAGCCCGGCTCTGAGACGGGAATCCTCCCAGACTGCGCTCAGCCCGGCTCTGAGACGGGAATCCTCCCAGACTGCGCTCAGCCCGGCTCTGAGACGGGAATCCTCCCAGACTGCGCTCAGCCCGGCTCTGAGACGGGAATCCTCCCAGACTGCGCTCAGCCCGGCTCTGAGACGGGAATCCTCCCAGACTGCGCTCAGCCCGGCTCTGAGACGGGAATCCTCCCAGACTGCGCTCAGCCCGGCTCTGAGACGGGAATCCTCCCAGACTGCGCTCAGCCCGGCTCTGAGACGGGAATCCTCCCAGACTGCGCTCAGCCCGGCTCTGAGACGGGAATCCTCCCAGACTGCGCTCAGCCCGGCTCTGAGACGGGAATCCTCCCAGACTGCGCTCAGCCCGGCTCTGAGACGGGAATCCTCCCAGACTGCGCTCAGCCCGGCTCTGAGACGGGAATCCTCCCAGACTGCGCTCAGCCCGGCTCTGAGACGGGAATCCTCCCAGACTGCGCTCAGCCCGGCTCTGAGACGGGAATCCTCCCAGACTGCGCTCAGCCCGGCTCTGAGACGGGAATCCTCCCAGACTGCGCTCAGCCCGGCTCTGAGACGGGAATCCTCCCAGACTGCGCTCAGCCCGGCTCTGAGACGGGAATCCTCCCAGACTGCGCTCAGCCCGGCTCTGAGACGGGAATCCTCCCAGACTGCGCTCAGCCCGGCTCTGAGACGGGAATCCTCCCAGACTGCGCTCAGCCCGGCTCTGAGACGGGAATCCTCCCAGACTGCGCTCAGCCCGGCTCTGAGACGGGAATCCTCCCAGACTGCGCTCAGCCCGGCTCTGAGACGGGAATCCTCCCAGACTGCGCTCAGCCCGGCTCTGAGACGGGAATCCTCCCAGACTGCGCTCAGCCCGGCTCTGAGACGGGAATCCTCCCAGACTGCGCTCAGCCCGGCTCTGAGACGGGAATCCTCCCAGACTGCGCTCAGCCCGGCTCTGAGACGGGAATCCTCCCAGACTGCGCTCAGCCCGGCTCTGAGACGGGAATCCTCCCAGACTGCGCTCAGCCCGGCTCTGAGACGGGAATCCTCCCAGACTGCGCTCAGCCCGGCTCTGAGACGGGAATCCTCCCAGACTGCGCTCAGCCCGGCTCTGAGACGGGAATCCTCCCAGACTGCGCTCAGCCCGGCTCTGAGACGGGAATCCTCCCAGACTGCGCTCAGCCCGGCTCTGAGACGGGAATCCTCCCAGACTGCGCTCAGCCCGGCTCTGAGACGGGAATCCTCCCAGACTGCGCTCAGCCCGGCTCTGAGACGGGAATCCTCCCAGACTGCGCTCAGCCCGGCTCTGAGACGGGAATCCTCCCAGACTGCGCTCAGCCCGGCTCTGAGACGGGAATCCTCCCAGACTGCGCTCAGCCCGGCTCTGAGACGGGAATCCTCCCAGACTGCGCTCAGCCCGGCTCTGAGACGGGAATCCTCCCAGACTGCGCTCAGCCCGGCTCTGAGACGGGAATCCTCCCAGACTGCGCTCAGCCCGGCTCTGAGACGGGAATCCTCCCAGACTGCGCTCAGCCCGGCTCTGAGACGGGAATCCTCCCAGACTGCGCTCAGCCCGGCTCTGAGACGGGAATCCTCCCAGACTGCGCTCAGCCCGGCTCTGAGACGGGAATCCTCCCAGACTGCGCTCAGCCCGGCTCTGAGACGGGAATCCTCCCAGACTGCGCTCAGCCCGGCTCTGAGACGGGAATCCTCCCAGACTGCGCTCAGCCCGGCTCTGAGACGGGAATCCTCCCAGACTGCGCTCAGCCCGGCTCTGAGACGGGAATCCTCCCAGACTGCGCTCAGCCCGGCTCTGAGACGGGAATCCTCCCAGACTGCGCTCAGCCCGGCTCTGAGACGGGAATCCTCCCAGACTGCGCTCAGCCCGGCTCTGAGACGGGAATCCTCCCAGACTGCGCTCAGCCCGGCTCTGAGACGGGAATCCTCCCAGACTGCGCTCAGCCCGGCTCTGAGACGGGAATCCTCCCAGACTGCGCTCAGCCCGGCTCTGAGACGGGAATCCTCCCAGACTGCGCTCAGCCCGGCTCTGAGACGGGAATCCTCCCAGACTGCGCTCAGCCCGGCTCTGAGACGGGAATCCTCCCAGACTGCGCTCAGCCCGGCTCTGAGACGGGAATCCTCCCAGACTGCGCTCAGCCCGGCTCTGAGACGGGAATCCTCCCAGACTGCGCTCAGCCCGGCTCTGAGACGGGAATCCTCCCAGACTGCGCTCAGCCCGGCTCTGAGACGGGAATCCTCCCAGACTGCGCTCAGCCCGGCTCTGAGACGGGAATCCTCCCAGACTGCGCTCAGCCCGGCTCTGAGACGGGAATCCTCCCAGACTGCGCTCAGCCCGGCTCTGAGACGGGAATCCTCCCAGACTGCGCTCAGCCCGGCTCTGAGACGGGAATCCTCCCAGACTGCGCTCAGCCCGGCTCTGAGACGGGAATCCTCCCAGACTGCGCTCAGCCCGGCTCTGAGACGGGAATCCTCCCAGACTGCGCTCAGCCCGGCTCTGAGACGGGAATCCTCCCAGACTGCGCTCAGCCCGGCTCTGAGACGGGAATCCTCCCAGACTGCGCTCAGCCCGGCTCTGAGACGGGAATCCTCCCAGACTGCGCTCAGCCCGGCTCTGAGACGGGAATCCTCCCAGACTGCGCTCAGCCCGGCTCTGAGACGGGAATCCTCCCAGACTGCGCTCAGCCCGGCTCTGAGACGGGAATCCTCCCAGACTGCGCTCAGCCCGGCTCTGAGACGGGAATCCTCCCAGACTGCGCTCAGCCCGGCTCTGAGACGGGAATCCTCCCAGACTGCGCTCAGCCCGGCTCTGAGACGGGAATCCTCCCAGACTGCGCTCAGCCCGGCTCTGAGACGGGAATCCTCCCAGACTGCGCTCAGCCCGGCTCTGAGACGGGAATCCTCCCAGACTGCGCTCAGCCCGGCTCTGAGACGGGAATCCTCCCAGACTGCGCTCAGCCCGGCTCTGAGACGGGAATCCTCCCAGACTGCGCTCAGCCCGGCTCTGAGACGGGAATCCTCCCAGACTGCGCTCAGCCCGGCTCTGAGACGGGAATCCTCCCAGACTGCGCTCAGCCCGGCTCTGAGACGGGAATCCTCCCAGACTGCGCTCAGCCCGGCTCTGAGACGGGAATCCTCCCAGACTGCGCTCAGCCCGGCTCTGAGACGGGAATCCTCCCAGACTGCGCTCAGCCCGGCTCTGAGACGGGAATCCTCCCAGACTGCGCTCAGCCCGGCTCTGAGACGGGAATCCTCCCAGACTGCGCTCAGCCCGGCTCTGAGACGGGAATCCTCCCAGACTGCGCTCAGCCCGGCTCTGAGACGGGAATCCTCCCAGACTGCGCTCAGCCCGGCTCTGAGACGGGAATCCTCCCAGACTGCGCTCAGCCCGGCTCTGAGACGGGGAATCCTCCCTGACCCCGCTCAGCCTGGCTCTGAGACGGGGAATCCTCCCAGACCGCGCTCAGCCCGGCTCCGAGACGGGGAATCCTCCCAGACTGCGCTCAGCCCGGCTTTGAGACGGGAATCCTCCCAGACTGCGCTCAGCCCAGCTCCGAGATAGGAAAGCAAATCCACAGCCCTCTCGGCATGGGGTGGGGGAGGCAGGCGGGGGCCCGTCTGGTTTTCCTTACTGGGAATCTCAGACCTGGGGCCTGGGATTTTTCTTGGCCCGTCAAGGAAACGGGGGGAGGGTCTGTAACCCAGGGGGTTTCCTCCCGAAGGGGCCAGCAGACACTCATAACACAACAAAGGGGTTTTAGCCCAATGAGTGAGAATCGCTCCCCCTTGGCGGCCCCCGAAGCGCCTTAGCCCCACGTCCATGCAGCACTGCCCGGCGGGGGCGCCATGCGGCCGTACCTGAAATACTGTCATTATTGCTGCTGGGAAAGTGTCGAAGTTGGTGGGAGGGGTCCCGTCATCAAAATTGAACCTGCGCAGGGGAAACACCAAAGTGACGCCCGGGCATTACTCACCCGCGCCTGGCTGGTCAGGGTGTCTGCCGCGGGCCCAGCCCCTCCTGGGTGGCCCTGCAGGGAGGGGGCAGGGCTGCTGGCTGCAGGGGCGCCCCCCTCTGCAGGAGGCGGGTCATAGACTCCGAGAGCTGGAAGGGACCTCAGAAGGCCATCAAGTCCAGCCCCCGGCCCTAGGCAGGGCCCCCGGCTGGGTCAGGAGCTCTGGCTCCAGGGCTCTGGGGAAGGCAGGAAGCTGGCTGAGGCCTCGGCCTGCAGCCCCCTCCCCCCACCCTCACTCACTGGCCCCCAAAGAGCTGCATCCCCAGAAGGGCGAAGACGACGATGAAGAGGAAGAGGAGGAAGAGGAGGCTGATGATGGACTTCATGGAGTTCAGGAGAGACACCACCAGGTTGCGGAGAGAAGCCCAGTATCTGCGGAGAGAGGCCAAGCCGGCGTGACAGGGCAGCGGGCAGGGGCCCACGGTGACTGGCTCACTGGCTGCGCAAGGCAAACCCAGCGCGCCCTTAGGTGTGTGCCACCGGGGCCCGGCCTAGGGCTCACAGGTAAAGGCGAACCCTAGCAAACGCCCCCAAACACACGCTCCTATGCAAACATACGCCCCCCAGCGCTCCCCCAAACATTCTCCCCAAACAAACACACACACCCCAAACATACCCCCAAACACACGCACCCCAAACACCCCCCCAAACATTCCCCCCCACACACCCCAAACATACCCCCAAACACACGCACCCCAAACACCCCCCCAAACATTCCCCCCCACACACCCCAAACATACCCCCAAACACACGCACCCCAAACACCCCCCCAAACATTCCCCCCCACACACCCCAAACATACCCCCAAACACACGCACCCCAAACACCCCCCCAAACATTCCCCCCCACACACCCCAAACATACCCCCAAACACACGCACCCCAAACACCCCCCCAAACATTCCCCCCCACACACCCCAAACATACCCCCAAACACACGCACCCCAAACACCCCCCCAAACATTCCCTCCCACATCCCAAACATGCCTACACCCAAACACACACGCACACTCCAAACACACACGCACACACCCCCAAACACACACAGAGGCCATGGGTCAGTTGTCAACACTATTTCAAAAATAAGAGGCTGTTTTCTTAGCATCCCGCCCCACTTCTCCTCCCCGTGTTTTAAGCATTAATGGGGGAGAGGCATTTCTTCCTGTTTTTTCCAGCATGCAGCTACTCCTGATCCAAACACACACGCACACTCCAAACACACACGCACACACCCCCAAACACACACAGAGGCCATGGGTCAGTTGTCAACACTATTTCAAAAATAAGAGGCTGTTTTCTTAGCATCCCGCCCCACTTCTCCTCCCCGTGTTTTAAGCATTAATGGGGGAGAGGCATTTCTTCCTGTTTTTTCCAGCATGCAGCTACTCCTGATCCCACTGCGAAAGAAGGGCCGTTCCTCGGAGAAGGGGCAAGCGCGCGCTTTAGGGGACGATAGGAGCCAGAGAACTTACTTTGTGATTTTGAAAATACGCAATAACCTGAGAGCTCGTAACACGCTGATTCCAAAGGAGGTGCCAGGCTTCATGACAGCCCAGATCACCTCAAAGATGCTCCCGATGATAACCTGCCCGGAACACAGCCGCGGATCAGTGGCCTGTAAAGGACGCCGGGTCCCGGAGCAGACACCTCACCCCCACACGCCCCTGGGGTGGAGAGCATGCTCTGGACAGGTTGTATTCCCACCACGTGATCGCAGGCACATGCGCTCCCCACGCCAATGCTCCTCTCTGGGCATGCACACATGCCCCCCCCCCCCCCCCGCCAGCACACGCCTGCTCCCGCCCCATGCAGGTGTAGCTCCACGGGGCCAGATTCTGATCACAGGCACTGACTAACTCCTGGGAAATCCACTTCACGGGGCTTACTTTGAATTTACACTGCTGTGACCAACTGCAGAATCCAGTGGGGCTACTCCTGAGTTACACCAGTGTAATGGAAACCAGAATCAGGCCTGACTCCAGATTTACACTGATCTGAACGGGTTAACGCACTGCAAAGTCAATTTCCCCGCCTTTGATATTCACATCCACACATCAAATACTATGAATGAGACATATCTGCCCTGACTTCATTAACTTCATGAACACGGGTCCTGCGCTTGTCAGGTCACTGCTTTTGCTGTTCAATATCCCCCGAATTCTGTACTTTCGCTCCAACTCATCTGGTGCACTGTACACAGACCCACGAAAGCTCATGAGTGTGTACAAGTGCTAGTTTGGAAGGGCCCCAGGACAGCTCGCTGCTCTTACAGACACCGGTGTGACCTCACCAGAATGGGACTTGATGGAGCTGCTCCTGGCTGAGCGAGGCAGCGAGCCCGGCCACCCCGCGCAGACCCCGCAGGCCAGAAGGCACAGACTTACGGCGCAGTCGAAGCAGTTGAAGGACGAGTGAAAGTAAGGCCGCGTTCCGAGCCCGTACATTTTTATAAACATTTCGGACATAAAGAGTCCTAAGAAAATGAATTCTGCATAGTCTGTGGGGGAGAGAGGTGGGGAGAGAGCTCAGACCTGCCCAGACCTCCCTGCCAGCACCCCTCCCAATGGCTGCCCCCTGCCTGGCACACC